TAGGAATCTACTAATTTAAGTAATAATTTCTAATTTGTACTACAGACTATTAAATTGATCTACTGTAATACTATATAATGATAAAATATATAATAAATAATACAGATATGAATAAAATAAGATAATAAAATATATAAATATATAAATAAATAATTAATAAATATAAAAATAAAACAGAGGTAACAATATATATAAAAATATAATATATATATAAAAATATAATATAATAATATATATAAAAAAATATAATATATATAATATATATAAAAAATAAAATAATATATTTCTCATAAATTTAAACAACTGCATATTCCCGTGACAGGGGGAGTGGTTACTTAATGGCTAGGTGGCTTAAAACTTCATCACATGAAGTTTATCAATGTAAAAATTTAATCTTAAAGATGCCCCAAACCAGGAATCAACTAAGAGCCCTGGAACAAACTTCATCCGAAACATTTTCAAAGTATTTCAGTTCAAAAACTTCTCGACTTAATGAAGAAAAAGTCTCTTTATCTGTTAAAAACAATGAGAGTAAGAGTATATTTAAAGAAACAGAACAGACCTTAACCAAAACAGTTACCAAGAGTACTTTTGAAGAAAATGTGACCATAAATAAATCATCTAAAAAACCGCTCTCTAATTGGGAAGAAGTGTATCAAAGAATAAAAGATTATCGAAAAACTTCAATTGCACCTGTAGATGATATGGGTTGTGCAAAATTGGCTGAAAAACCAGGCACAAACATTACTCCTCAAGTAATTTTCTTTAAATATTTTTTATAATAATTTTATACAGATTAATTATTAAATTGTTCATATCAATTTTCAGACATCGAGATTTCAGTCGTTGGTAGCATTGATGCTTTCATCACAAACCAAAGATCAAGTTACAGCAGAAGCAATTCAAAATCTTCGCCAAAAACTTCCGGGAGGATTAACTCTGCAAAGCGTTTTACAAGTTGACGAAAAATTTTTAGATCAATGTATTTCAAAAGTTGGATTTCATAATAAAAAGGCAAAGTATGAAAATTATTAATTTAATTTTATTTTCATTCTTATTTTGAGATTATTATTTAATTTATTTAATTTAATGACCTAAATTACAGATATATTAAAAGTGCAGCAGAGATCTGTCAAGAAACATATGGTGGAGATATTCCAAATACTGTAGAAGGATTAGTTAAATTACCGGGAGTTGGACCCAAAATGGTTTGTTATATTATTTTATTTTTAATAATTTATTATCAATTTTATAAATGAAATAAGTATATAAATTTATTTATTTATTTGTTTTAGGCTTATTTATGTATGCACACAGCATGGAAACAGTAAGTAAACCTATTTTTTTTCTTTAATCTTTCTGATCATAATCATGTATTCAAATTTTTTTTATTCATTAACAGGAATGAAGGTATTGGAGTTGATGTTCATGTACACAAAATTGTTAATCGCTTAGGATGGTGTAAAACAGAAAAGAAAGGTCCGGAAAATACTAGACAGGTTAGTTTATACTTTTTTTGGTGAGATTAATTAATGGGTATAATTATTATAATTCGTGATTTTCTTTAAAGGCATTGGAATCATGGTTACCAAGAGAACTTTGGCAAGAAATTAATCCAATGCTTGTTGGATTTGGCCAAACTGTATGCATAACTAACATGCCTAAATGTGCAAATTGCCCAGTAAATGACAAGTGCCCTTCTTCAAAATATAAAAAAAATATATAAATAAATCAATCAATATGATTGATTTTCTAATTTTAATATAATAATTTTTTTTTTTTTTGAGATTTTATTTTATTTTATTTTCCAGAATTCAAAAAAGTCACGCGCTTACATAATAAACAAATAAAATAATTAAAAACATTCGGCATTGTGATACACGTTAAATAAATCAATATTAATATTTCAGAGGAGACAAGTTAGAGGGTTTATCCTTTTTACATATTTGTAAATAAATAAAATAAAATAAATAAAATAAAATAAAATAAAATAATATTGATAATATTGATTTATCTAAAGTTATACTTTTAGGTACGAAAAGTTTTGAATAGTCAATCTAAAATTGCAAGTTAATGAAAAGAAAATCAAACTCGTTTTTAGATACAGCTTTAGGGAAACCGTTTTATACTCTATCCCATTGGCTGAAATTGAAGCGTTGACTCAAGATGTAAAAAACAGTTTAATAAATAAGAATAATATAATATATTATTAATTCATCTCCATAGTCAAAGCCCACAAAAGTATTATCATGCACAAAAAAAAACAGATGCAAAAGTAGAAATTATGATAATTATGATAATTATGGTGCAACAAAGGTTACAAGAAATACGAAAGTGAATTAGATGGTAGGTATAATTTGAAAAGTTATTATTTATAAAGGAAAAGAAATGTCGATACAGGATTTTTAATAAACAAATTTTGCCAATATTTGGTGAAGATAAAAATAATTCTGACTTTATCTTCAACGGCGGATTACTACTAATAATGATACGTATATCAAATATCTTCGCATTAAAATTATTAGTTAATAAAAAAAAATATATTTTTTAATATATTAATAATATATGTCATTGAAATAAAAATATAAAATATTATATTAAAATTAGAATTATAAAATTAAATTAAATGTACTCTCTAAACACGGAAATTTCATTCTCTCTTTATTTATCAATTCATTTACCCCTGAATTGAATTTTTTTTGTCCACCTGACCTTTTTATTTCTTGATTTTTGGTGACTGCAAAGAAGAAAAGTATCACAATGGTGACTTTTTTTTTTTTAATTGTTTCATTTATAATCTATCATGCAAACCTAGATATTCCGAGAAATACGCCAAATTATGATCCAAATATAGAATAATGGAACTAACTCGATTATTTTTCTGTTTTCGAAGCATGACCTCCTGAAATTCTGTACATAATGTTGTCTTACTATTAAGTTTTATTCATATACACGTTTTATTCGAAATCTTGTTTCACATTCTGCAGCTCATCTTGTAACTAAGTTCGAAATGCATAAAATCATTTAACTAAAAGTTATTTACTTTGTCACATTTCAATTGTACGTAAAGAAAAGTAATAGGTTACTTTCTTTAAGCCTCGGGGGTTTTTTAAAGCCGCTCTATTGTTCCAAAAAAGAACAAAATTAAAAGCCACTAATTGCTAATTACTTGAGCAATTGATACTTAATGTATTGAAAATAGTTAATAAATAAAATCTTATTTTTATTTTTTTTTTAAAAATTTTTATAGAAATATACTGTATATATTATTTTAATTTTAATGATTCACTGTCTGTAAATATATTTATAAATAAAATTTGTTCTATAAGGTGATGATAATGGTGGTGATGTTGATGAAATAAATAATTAATAATAATACAATGATTAAGTCATAGATATACAAGGGAAGAGCTAATTTATAGAAATATAGGAAAAGAAAAAGAGAAATTCTAATTATAATAAAAATTATTTCTATATAATAATATATAAATTTAAAATTATGTAAAATACTATAAATATCTTATAAATTATATGAATACTATACAAATAAAAAAAAAGCTTGATTTCTTTTTTTTTTTAAACATTAATTATCTAAAATAAATGGAATAAATTGAATTCCTTTTTTTCCTTTCACTTTTACTAGTATTGTTACTCTTCACATATTTAGTAGAACTTAAACGTGCTGACCCAACTTTTGAGTGTATTTTCAATGAATGAAATATACTTGATCTTTTATTGTTGGTATTTAATAATTTTTTATTTTCACTTAAATACTTTAACGCTGATATATTATTTACCTTTGCTGTAAAATCTAACAAATATAATCCACGAAATGTTGTTGATGTGATATCCGCCCCTCTTTTAATCATCAATTCTATTATATCTAATGGTAAATCTAAATAAACTGCTGCAAATAAACAATTTGGAAATGAAGACCCTGAAATGGTTAACGATGTATCAGGCAATGTTAAATTTGGATCGGCCCCATTTTGTAATAACATCCGTATTATAATATATATACGTTTGGTTTCATCATCTTTGGTCGTGGTACGCAGTAAATCCAAACATTGATGTAAAGGTGTTGCCCCCAATTTATCAGGTATATTTGGATTCGCATTATATTCTAACAATGCTAATATCACACCAGGTTCTTTACGTTTCCAAATTGCCTCATGTAAAGCAGTCCATCCAAAATCATCCAGAGAATTTATATCTAGATTATTGGCTATTAACCATTTTAATGCTGCTCGAAAATGATTGTGTTTCGCTATTTTTGTAGAATTAATATTAATGATATCAAACAAATCATCATTCCAAATTAAATTATGAAATACTGATTTCGATTTATAGATTTCTCGTTGAAAAATATTTGTTCCACGTTTCTTTAATTGTTCAAATGCTTTTACTATATTTTTTGCTACACAATATCGTGAAAGAAAAATAATTTCTGGTTGACGATTATCGAAAAGTGATGAGGATGAATTAGAACGCATGTTGAAATATTTGTTATTACATAGATCGGAGGCTTCGTCAATCGACATCGAATGAATAATTTTTGATGATTGATGAGAATCTCCAGTTGAAGACGGTATGGATTTTCGAAAATTTCCAAAACTCAACCTACGTGTTTTTTCGAAAAGCCGAGATGTATCTACATGTTCAAACTTTAAGTAAATGATAATTGTATTAGATTATAAAAGATTATTATTATTATTATTATATGTATTAGATTATAAAAGATTATTATTATTATTATCATTTATACTTACAGATATCGATCTTGATTTAGCAGATTTAGCAGATTTGGAAATTTGACATAAATTACTATATTCTTTTATGTCATCTTTTTCAATAATTTCATATTCTGATAAATCATTTAAATCTCTCCATCCAATAGAATCGACCCGTGGTGAAATCGTAGGTTTTGGTTTAATTTGTGAAAGTTGTAGTGATCGAAGATGTTCCAATTTAAATTTAATTTCAATTGGTGATTTAGTAAATGTTTCAGGAACTTCTGAATGAATAAGTTTTAATCTTTCAATAATATATTCTATGGTAGGGCGATTATTTGGTTCTCCATCCCAACATTTTCTGTAAAGTTGTACATAAGGGATTGGAGTGCCAGATATTATTGAATTATCTCGTTCACCATTCAATATGAGATTGATTATTAAATGATAATTTGATCCAGATAATTCAAATGGAGCTCGACCGTTTGCTAATTCCCACATGATCCCACCGAAACTATAAATATCAGATCGTTTGTCCAATTCATAAGATCTATTTTTTAGAAAAACAGGTTCAATGAATGGAACCATTTCTTTAAAGTGAGGTGAATTCTTTGCTGAACATTTTAAATTAGAAAATCCTAAATCTGAAATAATCACGTGATTATCATGTATTAATATATTATTGGGATGCTACAATTTAATAATGGAGAAGAGAAAATTTAATAACATTTAATAATATATATGAAAATGAAATATTCAACATTATACAGATTTTATATTTTTATTTATGGATAACTTACAAGATTTTGATGAGAAATTCCACGATTATGTATAAAATGTAAACCATCAGCTATCTCCTTAGAAAATTTTATTCTATTATTCCATGACAAAACTGAATTATAATGAAGCAAATATTGTCGAAGATTTCCTTCAGTAGCATATTGCATTACCGCGAAAATTTCATCGCTCTCGGAGGCTAAAAAAAAAAAGAATTTGAAATGTTTAATTAATCTAATAATGTTATTAACGTAAATTGAATTAATTAATTATACTTTACCTTTAGTCAATCCATAGAATTTCGTAATATTTGAGTGATGGTTAAGATTTGATATTAGCTTTAACTATAGAATAATAATAAAATAATTAAAATAATAATAAAATAATAAAATTATAATAAAATAAAATAATAAAATGATTAAGTTAAAATTTGGTAAAAAATAAAAATAAAAATAATAATAATAAATAAATAATCTAGAATAAATCCAATCGCATCAAAATCAAAAAGTTTCTAACCTCGTCCACGAATTGTTCTATAATATTGTGATCTTTGTTTTTGGTTTCATTCATTAAATAATTTTCTTTTTCGTCATCTAATTCATTAAATGTGACACTTTTCAAAATTACAGAGATTTTATCATTTCCCCAAACAGCCCAAAACAAATTGCATCCATGATCTTCTTTGGTGATGGTGTATTTCGAATTATGATCATTTAATGGTATTAACTTTTCGAATGATCCATAATCGATTAATGGTATTTGATCTGTATAATTAATGATTGTGTTTGTATTCTCTAAAGAATTCATCGAACTTTCTAAACCCGATGATACTTTTAAAAGAGAAGTAAGGGAAGCCATGTTCTGATATTATTATAAAACGGGTAAAATAAAATTATAAAAATTTTGATAGAAAGAGAAATGAAGATGATGATTATCAAAAAAAAAAAAAAAATTTTTTTTCTAGTTTTGCATGAAGAGGGAGGCTATGTAAATATGTATTTTTTGCCAACAAGTGAATTTGAATTATTTATATAAAATGTTTGTATAATATAAATATATTTTATTATTATTCTAATGTGATATAACTCTATAACTTAATAAATGTTGTACTAAGTATCCGTTTATAGAATAAATTCGGAGAGCCTAGAAATAAAAATACAATACAAATTATACACAGCATAAAAAAATATAAATTTAGATATTTATTTTTAGATATTTTAGAGCAAAAAATAACTAATGTATTACAAAAATGGCATATTTTCCGTGTGATTATTTTCCAACTTTAATATTATGAATTTCTCATTGATGATTTTTCTTGTTTTTCTTGGCGAAATGATCCGGAAAATTTTGTAAACTTGGAAATATCATTTAAATATCATTTTTTTTTAAAAAAATCATAAAATGAATATGGTCATTAAGGCTTTTTAAGGCATAATTCATGCAAAATAATACCGTTTTATTAGAATTATATGAAAAATAGATTGATTATGTTATATTTTTGATGTTTGTATGTTATCATTTTTTTTATCAAAATCTTACATATTTCACATATTTATATAATTACTATTGTTGAGACAATGTGTCTTGTGTTTTTTGTTGAATTAACATTATTATTAATCAAGATAAAAAAAAATGGTTTATTGAGTTTATAAAAAAAAAAATAATAAATAATCAATGCATAAACATAATGATTTTAAGCTTTGTTTCAGTGTAAAATGATGATAAATGTTATTTAGATTGTAAAATTATTCTTTATTTTTTTCTCATCATTTTAATATTTCTATTAATATTTTTTTAATATATTCTTAAGTAAATATCATTAATATCTTAGTAATATTCAAAAATTATGCATTTCTTCAAGTGAAACATTCCAAATATGACATAATTCATTCATATTATATTTAGAAGTGTCTTAAGTATCTGGATGCATCGTGTAATCAAATATCAAATAATAAAAAAAAAAGGAGTGTTTCGAATTCAAAGAAACAATTTTCTCTAACTTGACTACTAAATGATTAATATCTAGATTAATGGATTAAATTATTTCTTATCAAAGAGATTCTGTATGCCTCTCTACAGTTATTAAAAATAAAATTTCTTAATGTTGACGACTACGTGAACTCTATTCAAATACAATTAATTATTATATTAATATCTCGAACCTTTGAATAAATTAATTACATGAAATAATTTAAAAGATTTAATATAAAAAATTAAAATTAAAAAATTTGAGACGTGAATTACAATATAATATAACAACCTTTTTTTCGCGAATTCTAATCATCATCAGTAAATATCCATATCTAAATAATAAATAAATTTGATAAATTTGATACATTTGATAGAATCAAGAACTGTTACTGTAATTTCAGAAAAGCTTAATTAATAATTTTTAATAATTTCATAAAAATACCTTTGTAAATATAAATATTTACACTTTTCAATATAGCATAAATGCATATATGTACAATACACGTGATCTCTGTCTTGATTTTAACGATTTTAACACTCTATCGCACAATAACAAATAAGTTTATCCAAAAATGTCTCTCTCTTATGATAAAAAAGATGTATTACGAATGGCCATAGACACTAAGTTAATTAAATCATTAGATTATGAAACATTTGAAAATTTTTCACATCTCGGTAGAGGAGCATTTGGTACCGTTGAGCGAGCTTATTCGAAATTTTTAAGAAAAGAAGTCGCATTAAAAAGTATAAATAGTGAGAATGAAGACGAATTTTATAGAGAGGTGAACAAATATATATCTATTTTTTTTTTTTGTTTCATTAATTAATTAAAAATTTTTAATATTTTTTATGAAAGTTAAATATTTTTATTTTATTTTATTTTTGACAAGTTAAAAAATATTCTTGAAGTAAATCAACATGATAATATTATTAAGCTTTTTGGAATAAGTAAAGGTAAAGTTAATTATTATTATCATCTATATTTTATTATTTATATATATATATATATATATATATATATATATATATATATTTTAACAAAATTGAATTTACGGATGCTTACAAAATATTCAATAAAAATAAAAATTTATAATTATTATTAGAGCCTTTAACCGATAGATGCCTTTTAGTTTTACAATACGCCAATGATGGTGATCTGAGATCATATTTAACAAAGAACTTCGAAAAACTCGATTGGAAAAAAAAAATTAATATGGCTAAAGATATTGCGTTAGGCTTATATTATATTCATGCAGAGAACATTGCTCACAGGGATTTAGTAAGTACTTGTTATATATGTGTATGGATTGATAAATTATGAATTATATGATTTGTGCATGCATAATTCACTTTATTCACTTTTTTTTTTTTAATAGCATTCAAAAAATATATTGGTTAATGAAGGAAGATTATTGATCGCGGATTTAGGGTTATCTCAACCATTAGATTCCAATTCAAATTCTATTTTAGGTGGAATGATGGCATATACGGATCCTAGATATTTAAGAAATACGAACTATAAGAGAAATAAAACTTCAGATATTTATAGTTTAGGAGTTCTTTTTTGGGAATTATCAAGTGGAAAACCTCCATTTAAAGAAATTCAGAATTTAGATATATTGAGAAGGGTTAAGTCCGGTGATAGAGAAACACCTATTAATGGAACACCAGTGGATTACATTAAAATTTATTCAAATGCATGGAGCGATGCTCCAGAACAAAGACCAAATGTAGAAAAAGTTCTTGATGATCTTGAAAATATTCAATTAGAAAATGTCTATAATAATTATAATAATGATCAACTTCAAAGATCTCAAAAATATCAATCTCTTCCATCCTTTCAATTTGAAGCAGATGATGAAGCAGATGATGTATCTATGATTTCAGCTACATTCCCAAACACATGCATAGTAACTCTTAATAAAATTAAGGAACAATTTAAGTTCTATGATTTAGAGACATCTATTTGTGATGCTCATTTACACATTGTTCTTGGAGATATTGAAGGTTTACAATGGCATCTTAACGTTGGGTTCGATGAAAATAGTTATTATGGACCTATGAATTTAAAGAGAAATCTTTATGATTTTGCAATAAAATATTGCAACAAAGAAGATATAATGAAGGTCTTTAATGTATTAAACGTATTTCATTATTCTAAATTGAATCTAAATATCCAACTTTTATTCAGTAATGATAATATTCGAATTCCCCAAGATTTGAGAGATATTATGAAATTAATAGTAAATAGTAGATACGATATCAATTGCAAAAATAGAAATTCAATGTATACATTATATAGTTTATTACAGTCAATAGATAATAATATTTATGACATTATTGAAATTTATTTAGAAAATGGATTTGATCCAAATAACCCTTTTAATGATACCCTTCCAAATTTATTATTTTTTGCTGTATATAAAAATTATCCCAATGAAATTCTAGAACTTATTTTTAAACAAAAAATAGATTTGAAAAAAAAAAATAAATATGGATTAAATATTCTCGGATACACAGCTTCAACAGAAAATTTTGAGATAAAAGTTAAATCTCTAATAGAAAATCTTAAAAAGAAAATAGCGTTGGGTTTATGATATATTTTATCCATTCTTTTTTTTAAAAATTTTTTTTTAAATTTTTTTTTTAATTATTATTATTATTTATTATCATTATTTTTATTTAATTTATTATTATTAAATTATTAAATAAAATAAATACTCTATATGTATATTTATATATTTATTTATGAAAAGTGAATATTTTGTACAATGAATTATTTACTAGTCTATCTATTATATATTATATTTATTTATATATATATATATGATGCAGCTGTTGATTTCAATAACACACTAGGCAAGAAGGTATTATTGGTTTAATATACAAAGTCGGAAGTGGACGAGGAAGAGACCTTGATGGATGACATCTTTTATTTCTAAGATATTTTTGTAAAAAAAGAAAGAGGAATATGAAGTAGAAATTTATATAAGCAAATCTTTATTTTATTAAGAAAAATGAATAAAGTGAAAAATATCGATCTCTTAATTAATTCTTAATCTTAATGTAGATTTTTGTCTTTTCTTTACTACCAATTACTTCGACTAATTCTAATTTTTACATTTTTTACATTTAAAATTATTTTTAAAGAATTCCTAGTTTTCATATTTATATTTTTTTAATTATTATATTTTCAAATCATAAACATTTACAATTTCTCTTAATTTTGATAACTAATTTAATTATCTGTTATAATTTTGCTATAATTTGTTCATTAAATATTAAATGTTTTACCAATTACAAATTCTTCATTTACACCAAATCCTTTCACAAAATTTCTATTATTGCTATTACTATTATTATTATTATTATTATTTACACGATTTACTTTATCCACCCAATCCTCAAATTTTTGACATTGATTAGAACTAACATACCTAGCTTCAAATTCTTTTCCAAAACGTGCATTAATTACTGGTGCTACCATTTCCTCATTTAAATTACTACATTCATAAACTTCTAATAATTCTATTCGTTTACATTCTGCTACACTTTCCCACGGATCGCATCCTCGAAAATCTACATTTTCAAATCGTATGTAACGCAGTGACGATGATTGATGTTTCAAAGGTGGAACAATCGCTCGGGCATAAGCTTTACAATTGGAAAGTGTGAAATATCGTAGAGAATGTTGTGATGTAATTAGAGTGGTAATAGCATTTCCGAAATTATCAACATATTTTTTATCATGGTTTCGCGCCCACAGGCTATGAATATATAAACATTCCTATAAATTTTTAAAAATTTTTATGAATTTGATTAATTTATTTAAATACATAAATATAAATATAAATATAAATATAAATATAAAATAAATATAAACTTACCAATTTACGACACCTCTTACTCAACATTAAATAAACATTATTTTTTCTAATCATTCCATTAATCTCTAATGTTTTAATCGATGATACTAAATCTTTAAATTCTTCATTTACCAATAACATCTCATATAATTCATCATTTAATTCATCAAGTCTATCAGGGTGTAAAAATAAACAATTTAATCGTGCCCCTTTATTTAAACAGAGTTTAAGTACTGATTTCATTACGACAATTTCTGCATTATCAATTAATTTGTCTTCTTGTTCATTCATTGCTGTATTTTCGTTATCTGGATTCATAATTTCTGATAATTCTAAACACCAAGCTTCTATTGCTTGCACCATTGTTTCGTACCACATTGAACGCATGAATCCTGGATAATTAAACATGGGTGGTCTTCTGTATTCACATATTTCCATCGAACTCATTTTATGTTCATTCTCATAATCTGAATCGGAATCTTCTGAATATGATTGCTGAAATTGCAAATCTCGTGTATCATTATGAATGCTAAAATTCGACATTAGTGAAATATCAATTCCTTGACTTGATAAATGATCTATTTCTTTCTCATCCAAAAATTTCAAATACATATTAATCACAGCAGTTCCGGAATCAGGGTTTTCCTTGAGAAAGTGAAAAGGTTGTGACCAGAGGATTGGTATCGCAATAGAACACCAAGTTCGGTTAACCAATATACATTGATATAAATTGTGGAGGTCATCAATTGTATAAATACCAGTAAATGGATTAGGATTTACAAGATGAAGAAAAATTTCACGGAGAACATCATTTACAAGGACATGAGCCATTTCTTATTAATTTTGTTTTTAATGTGAGTTTAATTTAGAATATAGGAATTTATTGTAATACTTAATTATACGATTGGTGAAAAAAAGATTATGCTAATTATTTCGTAATATAATTGATGCAATTCTTTTAGCAATTCGCAGAACGCTAAAAGATTTTTAATATTCAATTGCTTTTTTTTTTTTTTTAAAAAAAAAAAAAAAAAAGATCAAGGCAGAAAATTTACAAATCGAATTATGGTGGTGATGCATTAACATCATCCCATATATATAGAAAAATTTCTTTCATCATTGCATTACATCATATTCATCAAATGATAATGAAACATTTTACGCTTTGCCGAATTCTCGGAAACAAAGAAATATTTTCTAAAGACAATATATTTATATTTTACAAATTTATAAAATTTACTGGAATAGGTTTAAACTAAAATCTGTTTTCCAAATTCGATCAACAGCAAGGTAGTACTTTTTACAAATTAAGCGTTAAATTTTATGGTATCCAATAAATTTAAGGCTCCAAATTATTTTGTGCGAGAACAATGAACAATTTCACAACGAAATTTTAAAGTGTGTTCGCATAAATATTTGAATAAATATTTGTATATGTGCATCAAACCAAAAACCAAATAAAAAACAAACAAAGTGCGTGTTTTTAACAAAGGAATAATTAAAATATATTACGTTGTGTTGTATCAACATGTTATTTGTAAAGAATAAATTTTTGTTAAGCTAACCTTTTTTTTGTAAGAAAAATTTCTTTATATCGTATTATTTGTAAAGAATAAATTTTTGTTAAACTAACCTTTTTTTTGTAAGAGAATTTTCTTTATATCAATTCAACAAAGACACTGATAAAAAACTATATCAATTTTCATTAGCTACTATATTTTGTTATTTTTAGAAATTCTTTTTTTCGTCAATGTTTTATCTGTTAGAAAATATTTTAATTTAGATTACTTTGCAAACAAACAAAGAAATCTTTTTTATATATTATAAAATGTGAAAATATAAAGTTATCAACGTCATTTGCGTCAAATGTTTGTTTCGCTAAGAGCATAACACGTGGGATGACTAAGAAAGTAATCGTTATTCTTGGCTTGCTTCCCATTGTAATCTTTTGTTTCACAACTTCAACCCATGTGGGCATAGATATGACTCATATCATATGAGTAAAGAAATAAAATATCTGAAATCATTCTTTATTAATTATTTTAATATTTTATCGTCATAGTACAAACAAACAAACAAAAAAAAAAATATCATCACTCCACCAATTATTACTAATTGCCTTAATGTCTACTAACTTACACTTGACTGCCAGTCTCTACTAACATATCTATTTCTTTATTTCAATGAATTAATTGAATCCTTCATAACTTGCCAAATGCACGCCAACATTAATACCCAATTTTCCATCACACAACACAATCTTAAAACAAACTTTCAGACATATTACTAACATTACTCATAACTAATCTCTCCTAAGTTGACATTTAGATTTATTGTATGTATTATGTAGACATGTTAACTGTTATATGTATAATTTTATTTACATTCAATAATATCTTAGCAAAAAAAATATATTATAATTGTAATTTGATGGCACAAACTAAATTTCCAAGATAGGTTTCTCAATATTTCACAGCGGAAATGTCACATCACTTGTAAATCACTAATTAGAAATTTTGTGTAACGCATGTTGGCTCTGAGTCAAGTCACATTACATAAAAGCTAATTCAAGTACCTAGAAACTTTCTTTATACCATAGACGTTTCGCAATTTTTCCTTTTATATTTTATATATATATATAATTTAAGTGAACAAAAGCTTAATAAAAAAGTAACCGTAATTATTTTTATTATATTTATTATAATTCAAATATGATAATATATTAATACTTTAATTATTTACAGTATTGTACGATTTCAATTGAACTTATTATTTAGCATTTTTTTTTATTATGATAACTCCACCAAGCATATATTTTTTTCTTATTTCAATCACTTCCAAGCTGTTGCAATATATTTTCATATTCATAATCTTGAATTTTATCATTATAAACCAGTAAGCTTTTTAAAAATAAAAGTAATATTAGGAAACCAAAAAAATTATTAAATATATTTATTATAACATATAATAAAAAATAAAATCAAACTTGATAAAATTTGTTCTTCGTGTGATGTTGCAGCAACATTGTTGCTCTTCGTTTTTTAGAACATTATTATTTTCTACAGTATGTTGTACTACTTTTTTCTTCTTAGTTTTTGATGCTTCCTTATATTCTTGATGCCTTGTTCTTTTTACTCCAATTGCTCGTCTTCCTGTAGTATTACGCTTTTCTATTTTTAATACTTCTTGTAAATATACTTTTTGAATATGTTCCAAACCATTAGGATAACATGCAATAAGTTTTTCACAGCCTTCTTTATTTAATTCAGGAGGAATATATTCCTTGAAAATTAAATGTTCTAAAGGATTCTCCATATCAAAAATAATAAGTAAATTATCTACTTCCACAAAGCTTCATTTTGTGAATTAATTGCTTGTTGGCTATGAGATATAGATGTATCTTCCAAATATTCACTAAGTAATAAATCAATTTGTTCTCTTTCAGATTGTGCTGCTTTAATATTTCTTTTAAGAGTTTCTTCATTGATTATATTACCTGTAATATTTTGTTTTATAAAATGAACTCCAAAAGTTTCTAATGCCATTTTGAAAGATGAAAATCTTTTTTAACAAGTTTTTGACATAATATAGGTATTGAAAGTGGGGAACCAGAAGTGTTTGTTGATAAAACTAAGCTATGTATAACTTCTGCAATATTAGAATCAGATTTTTCTTTAGGCCAGCCAAGTTTATACATGTTTTCAAAATTGATTTTGGATTTTTGAGGTATTTCAACTTTTTGATATTTATGCAGAATTTATTCTATATATGGAAATAAAAAAAGTATCCAGTTATGTGTATATTCAATCAAAGAATAAATCTGAGTGGTCAAAAAATTTTGAATTTTAAGTAAAATAATTTTGTCTTCTATGAAAAACTATTTCAACTTTTTTCCTTAAAATTGTGATTTCGGGATCCCAAAATAATTTTGCATACAAGTATAGCCAAGTTTTTTATGTATTAATAAATTCTTATTATTTTTTATATATTCAACAACTACTCGTGCAACTGTAGCCTCTCCAATACTAAGAACTGTAACAACTTGCTTGCGTAGTGTCATGCCTTGAAAATGGTCTGGATGTTTTCTAGCATCCAAAAAAATATTGGTGAGTATTAAAAATCATCTATCATTCTCTACTAGTTAATAGACCTTTCTTTTGATTTGTATTGACTATAAGAAAAAAAAAAATAGCTAATTAAATATAAAAAATTAAAATTGAGAATTATACTTACCTTTTTTATAATTCAAAATTTTTATACCATTTGATTTGTAGGATTTTTATAATTGATAAATTTTGTATAATGATTTTCATGTATCTATATTTTTGCACTAGATAATAGATACAATTTCCCATTGAAATGTCATTTGTAGAGTCACATGTAATGTTTCTCTTATAACATTATAAATATTTCTGAAGGAAAAACTTTTTATTTTGAAATCTATATTATCAATAATTACAAGATTTCAAATTTTTTTATTTTTTTTTTAATGTAATGATGAAATTATATTGTTCATATGTTCTTTTTCCTTATTTCATTCATATCTTTCTGTGTGTACAATAACATAACAAGTGTTTAAAAAATAATGTAATGAGGTTATTAATTTAGATTTCCATCTCAAACTAGTTAAAACTATTGGTAACCATATATTATATAAAAAAAAATAATATTGATAAAAATTGATGTTAAAAAGATAACTATTTTAATAATTTTTAATATAGAAATTAATTTGAAATTTTTTTTATAATGTTTTTTTTGATAATTACAAATTGAATTTTTTTTTCTTCTAATTCAGTTATAAATCCATTTAAAAATAAAATGAAAAATTTTGAAAATACTTTGTAATATTTTTGAATTGTACTAAGAAATTCTAGATCACTTTTTTTATTTCTTATTTCATTATGTAAATACTATAATTTTTGATCAAATGACTTTTCAAGGTTTTCAGGATTATTTATTTCTTGTTGAATTTGAAAACTTGTTTTATTTTTTTTTATATTTGAATGTATCCATAAAAAGTATATTGATTATAAATAAACTTAATTCAACTTTTTCATTCTTATTTTGTATAGAAGTAACAAAAATCTTATTTAAATAATTATAAAAATTATTATTATTTTCAGAAGGTGCAGATGAAATATATTCTTTAATTGCATCAATAACTGAAGTTAAAATTAAATTTTTTATATACTCATCTGCTTCTTTTGAAATTTGTAATAACCATTTAGTAACTATTTTCAATTTGTATGATACTGTATATCATTTTTGTATAATCCTTCTTGTATACAATTTGAAAATTTTCATCTCTTTTCACAATACTTATGTATATGTTCATCATTTTTTTGATAATATTCGAGATATAAATATCTAGATCTTTTAATTTCATCTGATATTTGATAACACAAAGGTAAAAATTTTTTTAATGAATTACAAGAAAATTGATTATTACAAGGTACAAAAAGATTCCACCCATTAAAAATCCATAAATGATTTATATATCTATTACTATGACTATAAAAAGTAAATATTTTCTACATTCAATATAATGATCTTTTTGAATTAAAACAGCTCCTGAATATTTTTTTTTATTTATTATTTTTACTATATAATTGATTTTGATCATATAAAAAATGAAAATAACATATATCTAATTGCAAATAATTTTTATTAATTGTATTAACAATATTCCTATCTATTTGACATGATCTAAATAAATTTCTTAATTATCTTAATTTATCTGTTAAACTATATATTTGAATTTTGCCCTTTATTAATTAGATTTCTTTATTTGTATTATATTTTAATAGTATTATTATTATTTATGAGTAACA